AAAAAGACAAAAAGGAAAAAACCAGCTGATCAACCAACCAACCAACCAACCACCCTCATAGAGTGGTCATAAAGATTAAACAAGTTGGTGTACCTAAGTGTCATTACATGTTAATTTATCTTCCTTAAGTGTAAGTGTAAGAGACTTTTGGCTTTTTGAGGAGCTTAAATGCTTGCTGGTTTGGCAAGGATTTCAAGTTGTCTCACTTTACCCAAAATAGCCAACTTCTCCTCCAAGTTCGTCACCATGCCGACTTTCTTTAAGACTCGGCGTGACCCCTGGCTACTGCAGACTTTGTAGACAGGGCTGGCCCAGGGCAATAGTGTGATGCAGGGGGAGTTTGTTTTCTGCACCTTCCTCCTTATTCTTTGTGCATCTCTATTTCCCCTAGACACCATTCTCCTTACTGAGTTATCACAGCTTGTGTGGCCCCTCTGTGCAGCGCCAGGACCTTCCTAGCTTGTCCCTTTGTCCCTCAGGGATTTGCTAAGCTGTGCTGATCCTGTAAACAATGGTGGGTTTTCATGTGGAGGAGTGAAGATGGCCTGATGTGTGCTCCCTGCTGGAAACCGGGTTTGCATTTCAGCTTTTCAGTGCAAAGTGGAGCCACAGCCCTTAGTGAGGTCTAGGAATTGCAGACCCAAGGATAAAATGAGTGGGGTCTGTTATGGCTTCTCCCTGCCCAATGGAAGGCAGGAGCAGGTACACCCCTCTCTGTCTGCTCCGGATGACCTCTGCTCAAGGGATTCCCCCAACCTCAGGACTCCCCAGAGGCACAAATTTTAAGTCTTGAGCACAATTACTCAGACATTACAGCATCATGTTTACAAGTGCAGGATCCAGAGGCTGGCTGGCTGGGTTTAAATCCAGCTTTTCCACTTTTTATCTGTGAATTTGGTCAAGTTACATGACCTCCGTAAGCCTCAATTTTTCTCCATAAAATATGGATAGTCGTAGTCTTCCTTCATAGGGCTGAGGAGGGGACCAAATGAGGCATGTAAAGCATTTAACCCAGTGCCTGGTACACAGTGAGCCTCAGGAATTGACAGTTATTGCTACTACTTCTACTAAAGGTATGAATCTAATCTACAAACTTAACAGAAATCAACTAGAACACTCTCTGTTATGATGGGCTGGGGGCTCTACAAGGCTCCTGGGGGATGGACGAGGGGCACAACAGAAGCAGATGTCACCTGAGCGTGCTTCAACTTTCAAGTCAGCACCATAACCCATCTCCGGCAGACCGCTGAGAGAGACGGGAAAGTTTTTCCTTCTCAGATGTGAGAAGCTTTGGGTGTGTAACGCCCAGAATTATCCCATGGTGGAGAATCAACCTCATTTGCTCCGACACCCTCTCTGGGTGATTCGAGCCACCAGTGGTCTGTGAGTTAGAGAGTAATCCAAGGACATGTCACATGGGGAAACTAGTGAAAGCAAGTTTTCGGGAAACAACAAATGCAAGAAAAACATGTTTTCTTTGGCGTGCTTATCGAATGAGGCTCAAATGGGGACTCTGTTGCCAAACTCTGTGTGTGATAAAAAGTTGGCTTTTCTGGAACGCCTGCTTCAGCATCGACTGCCACAGCTTATGCAGACAAGTTGTAAAATTACATGGATGGTGGCTCCCCGTGTCCCACCTCTATAGCCGGAGGGTGGCCCAGCTCCAGGCTGGTTCCAGGCTGGTTCCAGCCGGGTTGGAGGCTGCTGCCTCCAACGTCCTAGGGAGCCTCTGAGAAGGCAGGCAGGCCACAGAAAGACAACATGCTTGCCCACCCACACCACTCCAGAGATTTCTCTTCCAAGGAGGTTTCTTGACACAATAAAGTTTTAATATAACTAACACCCTCTGGCCTTCTGGATATGTCCCTTTTAGTCCTGATTTTAGGAACAATACTCATATTGTTCCTCAACTTGAGAGAGGGGTGACTGGAGGGCAGTGGGCACTGCTGAAGTTGCCACTTCAGAAAACCAGGGCTGGTGAAATTTTTTTAGGTTGGGGGGGAACTCTGCACCCAGAAAATCCCAGCGGGCAAACAAATCTCAGCCCCTTGGGCAGATCAGAGGTAGAGGGTGGGTTCACCTATAGGGCAAAATGAGTCAGCTACAAGTAGATGATGTAGGTGAGCCAGAGGAGAGGATGCTGGAAGCTCGATGGAGGTGGATTTCAGCGCCATGTAGGAAAGAATTTTCCAACAATTAGAGTAGTCCAGATATCAATGGGCGTCCTCAGTAGGTCGGGAGCTCCCCATCACCAGAAGTATTTGAGAAGTGAGTTGACACCTTCTTGGCAGTAAAGCCATATATGTATCAGGAGAGTGCTGGAGTTGGAGTAGATGATCACTAAGCTTCTATCCCCAGATAGTCTGTGATTATAAACAGCAGGTGTGACCTGTCACCCCCAGATATGGACGAGTGCAGCTTCTCTGAGTTCCTCTGCCAACATGAGTGTGTGAACCAGCCCGGCACATACTACTGCTCCTGCCCTACAGGCTACATCCTGCTGGATGACAACCGAAGCTGCCAGGGTAAGGCTGTCCAGAGGGACCTGGCTGGGGCAGGTGTGTGGTGGGGCTGACTCGGGTCATCTGGACACCTTCACCTGGGGAATCCTGTGTGGTTTCCAGAAGGGGTGGGGAGAGGCTGTGAGTGGGAGCTGTGGCTCCCAGAGTGGCAGCCCCAGGAAGAACACCTGGACTGGTGCCTTCCCCTATTACCCATCCTTTGGCCAGGACACAGTCCACTCATGCTTCTGTAATGATCTCTGCAGATGCAGATGGTGNGAACTCTGCACCCAGAAAATCCCAGCGGGCAAACAAATCTCAGCCCCTTGGGCAGATCAGAGGTAGAGGGTGGGTTCACCTATAGGGCAAAATGAGTCAGCTACAAGTAGATGATGTAGGTGAGCCAGAGGAGAGGATGCTGGAAGCTCGATGGAGGTGGATTTCAGCGCCATGTAGGAAAGAATTTTCCAACAATTAGAGTAGTCCAGATATCAATGGGCGTCCTCAGTAGGTCGGGAGCTCCCCATCACCAGAAGTATTTGAGAAGTGAGTTGACACCTTCTTGGCAGTAAAGCCATATATGTATCAGGAGAGTGCTGGAGTTGGAGTAGATGATCACTAAGCTTCTATCCCCAGATAGTCTGTGATTATAAACAGCAGGTGTGACCTGTCACCCCCAGATATGGACGAGTGCAGCTTCTCTGAGTTCCTCTGCCAACATGAGTGTGTGAACCAGCCCGGCACATACTACTGCTCCTGCCCTACAGGCTACATCCTGCTGGATGACAACCGAAGCTGCCAGGGTAAGGCTGTCCAGAGGGGCCTGGCTGGGGCAGGTGTGTGGTGGGGCTGACTCGGGTCATCTGGACACCTTCACCTGGGGAATCCTGTGTGGTTTCCAGAAGAGGTGGGGAGAGGCTGTGAGTGGGAGCTGTGGCTCCCAGAGTGGCAGCCCCAGGTAGAACACCTGGACTGGTGCCTTCCCCTATTACCCATCCTTTGGCCAGGACACAGTCCACTCATGCTTCTGTAATGATCTCTGCAGATGCAGATGGTGCCTCTAAGGGCTGGTTCCTGCCTCCCCTGGCAGATCTCTACAGCCCCTTCAAGGATTGCTCCAGACCCAACCAGGACTTCTTGTAGTCTGGCCCTGCTCAAGGACAAGATCCCGGGCTTTCTCATGTGGCCTGGTGGGCAGTTTGGTCAGCTTTCCTCCACTGACTTCTTAGATATGGATGCCAGGGAGACCTCATGCACCTGACTGCTATGTCCCTTGAAGAGTCAGGACCCTAGACTGTGAATGGGGCATGTCTTCTCCAGATTGGCTGCCTGGCCTGATTTCCAGCCCTGTGCTCTACCCACTGAGGGTCAATGCAGAAGCGACTGACCCATCCTCAGCCTCCTTGAACCAGCCTTAGCCCAACACAAAGCAAGAATTCTCCATTGTGGTGCTGGGCGGTAGAAATATCACGTGAGCTACAAATGTGAGCCATCTAAGTAACTTTACATTTTCTAGTAGCCACGTTAAAATAATACAAAGAAACAGGTAAAATAACTATTAATACATATTTTATTTAATGCAGTATATCCAAAATATTATCATTTCAACACGTATTGATAAGAGGTCTTACTTTCTTTTTGTACTAAGTCAGCAAAATCTGATGCATATTTTCTACTTACAGCACATCTCAATTTGGACTAGCCACATTTAAAGTGCTCAGTAGCCACATGTGGCCAGTGGCTGCCATATTAGATAGTGCAGCTCCATCGTAAGACCCAGGCACCCCCAACCCCCACAACTGGCCCAGGGCCAGCACCTTGGAAATGCTGTCCCACTTCAGCTTCTCATCTACTCTGCATTTCAGACATCAATGAGTGTGAGCACAGAAACCACACATGCAACCTGCAGCAGACTTGCTACAATTTGCAAGGAGGCTTCAAATGCATTGACCCCATCCGCTGTGAGGAGCCTTATCTGCAAATCAGTGATAAGTAAGTCATGGCTTCTCCTTGGGAAATGGAAACATGGGTGAGGGCCTGGTTCAGGAGGTAGCAGTGGCCTGTAAAGGAGAGGGCACCAGCCAGGGACTCAGGAGACCTGACCTACTACCTAGTACACGTGCATGTGTGCATGCATGCATGTGCACAAACACACACACTCGCACACACTCTAAGTTCTCTGTCACTCTTCCACTCATGCCAGAGCTATGTGAAGCTTCTCTAGAAAGCTAACCAAGTGGAGATGCAGGGTTCGTTAACCTCCTTTTCCCTTTAATGACTATCTAGGATACCTGGGGTCTTTTATAGCTGGGTTCCTCAAATGTTACATGCACCATACTCACCTGGGGATCTCGTTAGTGTGCAGATTCCAATTCAGCGGATTTGGGGTGGGCCCTCGAGGCTGTTTTCTGACAAGCTCCTAGGTGAAATGAATTCTTCCAGTCTCCCTGGACTGCTCTGTGAGAAGTGAGGTGCTGGAGAATTTGCTAGATAGTTCTCCATACCCGAGGGTGCTTAGTTTGCTCTAATCAAGTTTCTGACATCATAATGGTCAATATTTTACTAAATCACAATATGGCAAATATTAGAGTGAAGACAACTTGTACCAGGTGAATGCACTAGGAAATGGTTTTCTGTCCTTGCTGTACTAAAAGAGTTCCTTTTCCTTCTCTTTTAACCCCTATTTAACCATCTCAGTTCTTCCTTGGCCTACACACACACACGCACACACCCCACCCCACCCCACACCACCCCCAGACAGGCTAGTCCTATAGAGACGTCTTCGATTGTTGCTAAGAGCTGTGCTTCTAAGTAACCCTACAGAGCAGGGCTCTTTGACTTCTGGTTCAAGTGCCCTTTGTGGCTGAGCAGAGTGCCAGGCTGCTCTGTTTAGCTTCTGTTCCTGGTTCTCTCTGGGTTTCTGTCTGTGGCTGGGGATCTGACCCAGTTCAACTCACAGTATTGACTTGGTGTTACTGGTGAAGTCTCTGACATGACTCTGAAAACGCTTGGTGACTCCCTCCCTCCAGACCCCAGTCCATCTGACTCCAGCCACCCCCTCCAGCTCCTTGTCCTGTGCAGGTGTCCTGTACACCTGCCAGCGTGAACAGGACTTGCTCTCACCTTTACGCACACCCCAGAATGTCAGCCTCCCTGCTTTTGTGTACACACTTCCTGCCATATGGAAGGCATTCCTTCCATTTCCACATAGCCCCATTGCCCCATTTTTCAGATCTCAGCTCAAATGCCACCTCTCCCAGCTGTTTGTGATCTTCTTCAGCTGGGAGCCGTCACTCCCTCGTCCTAACTTCAGGGACATTTTGACTTGGCTCTTTTTTTTTTTTTTTTTTTTTTTTTAATTTTTCTTG